TGCTGTATAACAACGCTCATTACACACCCGAAACTCATCGGGTATGAATGAACTCGGAACCCGCTTCAAATCTGCGCAGTTAATCAATCCAGCAACGCGCCGAAAGTGTCACCGGACCTTACCAACCTTTTTATCGTACATCTGCGCAGTTTTGCGTTGCACCTTATTCAAAGTTATCACTCGCCCAGTCGCCACAAAAACTAGCTTAGCATACAAATACGCTAAGTGGGCGAATAGCGCGTTCGAGATCTGATAGGGGACGCAATTACGTACGTGACACCTCGCGAGAGCGCGCTTGGAGATTAGATCTTGTGTCCGCGGCCTTAGTGTTGGGAGCGCCTCCAATTATTGTTCTGCTTGGATCATGAAGCTCGTTATATACGGCAATTTTAGTAAAAATAGGCTTTTATGTTCTATACTCTTGTCACGGCTTTGATTAAAGAGGCTAGATTGTGTGGTTTGTTTTTTTTGTCGTGTGTATATTGAAGAATTTACTTCAACTCTTTAAATGTCGCATCATAAATGACTGCGAAAAAAGAGTAGATAGTGTGACGAACTGTTTTTCAGTTTTATATAAAGATAAAACGAATCACTCTTTAATCTGCAAGGTACCTAAATGAAAAATATATCAAAAATATATTTGCTAGTATAGCTTAAATATTTTTATGTGATACTCTATTATCTTCTTAAATAGTAATCATTGGTGCGTTTGTAAGTGATCGTGTAACTTCTGAACGACTTTATTTTAAATAGAATAAGGGTGACAATCGAGCTCATAGTCCAGGACGGAACTTAAATTTTATACTGATGGTAACTGGATGCTGTATCCCATAGATGTAACTCAATGACAACGAATCGTAAACGTTGCGTATTAAGTTAGCCAGCAAAACTAAAGCGCTAAAACTAACTCAAGTCTGGCTAAAGTTATAGTTTTTAATGGGGACACCCGAGATTTACAACAGTTATTTCCTTTAACAACGTACGAATAAATGACACACCCGAAAGGCTTTTCTATCCATATGTATATTTTTTTTATAGAATAAGGGTGACAGGCGAGTACACAGTCCACCTGATGGTAAGTGGTTGCTGTGGCCCATAGACATCTACATCTATCTTCGTTAGCGAATTAAAATGCAGATGCGTTGTCAGCCGTGAGGACTAAGATAGAATGCCTCTTTTCCGGTAAAACGGGTCTCCGGTTCTCTACACTCACCATACGAAACACACATAATTAGGCTGCTATTTTACGAGTAGTAATAGAATACCATATTCTGTGAGAGCGTGGTCCTTCCGTGGTCGAGCCGACCCATTCGTGCTACAACTATACCATTAATATAGCTGCAGCATGACTCTACCACGTTAAAATCCTCGATTAAAAATCAAGTTGCAGATGCGTTGCCATACCTGAGCACTAAGATTGAATGCCTCGTTTCTAGTAAAAAGGGTCTCCGGTTCTCTACATATACGAAACGTTCATACGAAACACAGTAGCAAACTTTTGACGTAGCCCTCTTATCCTTGAGTTCCCTGCAAATTTTTAATGCTATCTCCTTTAAAAACGAACCGCTCGATTTCGATACATTATTTATTTATCATCAAATCACTAGCTATATTCATTGCTACAAAATCGAGATTTTCATACATAGTTCAAGTTTGTATGTGTATAGTAGATGCAGAAAATAGTTCTTATCCCTAACTCCGATGGAGTATTTAAATGTTCAAATAAGCTAAATAATCAATTTAATTATAATGTAATTACTCTCCCCAATTTGGTTCGCAACATGGACATACATAGTTATTTTCTTGGCGACAGTTTTTACATAGAGTCAGAATATTTTAACTGCGTTTCATTGTCAAGTATATGTTTCAGGCTTTGTAACCGCCGCTGCTTTGCGCTGTGATATTAAAGCGGCCATGTTCCATTGCCTTCCAAATGTCGCTTAACATTTACGCTTCTCCCTATTGTAGGTATGGGTATCAGTTGTATATTTATATGTACGAGATGGTTACATGGCAATCTATAATACCTATGCCATGAGATCTTAATAGAATTTCTCATAATCGCCTCTTTCGACACCCAGAGATAATATGGTGATGAATTGTCATACAATACACCGCTCCCCGGTTAGCGCTCGCTGTAAGTTTCATAGTGAAGGAAAACATCGTGAGGAATCCTGCATGTCTGAGAAATAAGAAAAAAAAATATTTCGAAGACATGTGAAGTTCGTCAAGACGCATTGGGGCAGCGCGGCGGACATTTCCTTGCCCTAAAACCCTCTCAGAAATGAGAGGAGGCCTGTGCCCAGCAGTGGGACGTAAATAGGCTGCAACTTTACTTTACTTTTACACCGCTCCCACACGATTTAAGTGTATGTGAATAAAATACGATCAAATGAAACAAGTGTGGATTTTGTCAATAGATTTATCTATATATATTTTAATGAATAGATCTCAATTACAGTTGTCAAATTTACAGTCTCTCATCAATTTTGAGAAGCAACATTTTTGTTTAAGTTCAATGTAGAAAAATGCCAAATTAACAAATTTTACGGTTATCCAACGTCTGCGCTTTTCTTTTACAAAGAAAATATAATGAACTTGCACTTCACGTAAATCTATTTCGAGTTAAACTTTAAATGTGCTTAAATTTAATGAATTCCATGGAAAATTATATTCATTTATAATTATATATTTTGTATTTTAATTTTTAACTACAATTTATCAACTATATATTACAAACTTTTAACTTAATATTAGATTTTTTATCAATCGTTATTTCGGCGCGTTTAGTCATTGCATTCTGAATAATAACTACGTGATTACATATCACTGTTTCCAAATTTAACAATTTAGGTTTTTCGTAAACAATTGAAATTCTAAAAAGTTATCAGAACAACTAGATATAAATGAATATATCTAGTTGTTCTGATAACTCTTATGGTCGAATGCATCAATTAAACGCACGTTTACCTCACAGCACAATTGACAAAACATATTTTCAAAATATGTCTATTAGTAAACACGTAAATATACCTTATAAATTGTATTTACAAAGAAAGCGATTATTATTTAATAATTTTATTATATTAAAGTGGGAAATGAAACAATCAATTTCGTCCAGCGGAATGGGTATGTAGTGACGTCTTACATTGCATTTCAAGTTCTTAATGGTAGTTGCACTGATCATAAGCCATTAACACCTATACACGACCACCTTATCCCTTATTACATACGAGTAATGCTTAAAAATCGGCTTAAATTTAAAATGCCCTTTGGAATTCCCTAATATTAATTAATTTTTAATTAATCTCTATAAATACTTATCAAAACCTAAATAGGTTATACGAAAACGAAACACAAGTGTTGAGAAAATTTAACGTCGAAATTTAAAAGTGCCTGATAGAACAAAAATGTCTGCACTAAGGTTTAATGGTTTATGTACGTTTAATATGTAAGTTTTGAAAGTGACCGAATTAAATATGGCGTCAGATCAACAGTCCCATCACGCCGGAAACATTTTAATACCTATTGCTATTGGAGTGGAGAATCTAATGTGATTACTATTGTGAAGTTCTTTCTACGTGTACGTCACGTGGACAAATGCCTGTAAACTGCAGCGCCATCTACCCGATCGGTCATAATAGATAAGTGGGTTTTGAATTTCATCTTTTTACTATGGCGATTATGCTGCAGAGAACAGACGAGTCGCAGATTCTGTAGCAACCATACATTATGATTTCTTATATTTACGCGAACACTACACATTTTTAAATAAAACTAATTTTACGGATTTTATCGCGTATATTAACTTATTTTTAACTTATTTTTATATTCCCGACGTTTCGGGTGCTTTCCAGCACCCGTGGTCACGGGGGACTGAGTTGTTTGACGTCCTGCTGTCATAGTTAGCCCGGCTACCTTCAGTTTTTTAATATTAATTTTTGGTTCGATTTACGCAGAATGAGCTTACAGTATCTTGAAGTCTAGCAGTGGTATACTTGGGTTTGGATTTGATTTTATTAATTATGGGATCCCAAGCAGATGGCAGCACCCATCCATCTTCTCTATTGAAATTAGGATGTTTTTTAATTTCAATAGCCTCGCGAATCATCCTTGGGAGGAATCGGTGTTCTTTTGCGAGGATTTGTGGTCTATCATGTGAAGCACCGACGTATCGGGAAGTCTGCAGTTTGTGAACATGTTCAGGATCGTCCCCGTCATTACATTAGATTTGATAGACCACAAATCCTCGCAAAAGAACACCGATTCCTCCCAAGGATGATTCGCGAGGCTATTGAAATTAAAAAACATCCTAATTTCAATAGAGAAGATGGATGGGTGCTGCCATCTGCTTGGGATCCCATAATTAATAAAATCAAATCCAAACCCAAGTATACCACTGCTAGACTTCAAGATACTGTAAGCTCATTCTGCGTAAATCGAACCAAAAATTAATATTAAAAAACTGAAGGTAGCCGGGCTAACTATGACAGCAGGACGTCAAACAACTCAGTCCCCCGTGACCACGGGTGCTGGAAAGCACCCGAAACGTCGGGAATATAAAAATAAGTTAAAAATAAGTTAATATACGCGATAAAATCCGTAAAATTAGTTTTATTTAAAAACCATACATTATAAAAATAAACAGTGAACGAGTAACACTTGTCAAGGTAATATTTTAAACATACAACCATAGTAAAGGAAAGTGAAGGATGTCAGTAGTACTAAACGTCAGTTGAATGTGTATGGTTGCTAAAGAAGCAAGCTTCGATTGTGGGTGCACTCGAGGAGTGAATAACTAGAATACGGATGACACCGCGTGACATCTACCTAGGGTAAAGCCTTACTATATACAATCAATATACGAATATCGACCCGAATAGAACTCGACAGAAAAAAAACAAAATAGGAACGATATAAAACGAAGCGCCAGCAACTCCAGTTTTTTGGTGAGGAGCGGCTGGAGCAATATAAATACTATGTACAGGCTATGTCGCGAGTCAGTCCTGGGTCTCGACGTCCAGGCCGTTGACCATACGCTCGATGCTCTTGAGGTCGGAGGCCGGAGGCGTGGCGGCTGTTGATGTTGTGGTGGACGTGGGGGGATCGGGGGGAGGGTCAGCGGAGGCCGCGCGCGCCGGCGGGGACCCCGGCCGAGGCCTCGCTGGTGACGAGCTCAAGCTTCTCGCTCGCGGCGCCACTTGTTCGAACGCCGATCCCAAGCCTGGCAACGCGTATGGTGCGAACCTGTGTGTTTTGGAGAGCGAGGGGGCTGGAGCGGGCGCGGGAGGCGCAGGTGGCGGGGGCAGAGAGTACTGCTGCAGCAGCGGGTGAAGATTGAACAGCAGCCCCGGAGGCATCTGATGCGGCGGGAAGAATGGAGGCGGGTATAACGAAGGAGGGTAAAGGTAAGGCAGTAGCGGAGGTTGTACCGGCGGTCCGAGAGAGACGTCGGGGGCGGGGGAGGGACGCGAGGGTCCCGCGGGGGGTGAGGAGGCCCGCGCCCCACCCGAGCACGATGAATCCGAGCCGGCTTCTTCGGCACCAGAGTCGCCACCACCTCCAGAACTGAACCATGCTGCGAAAGAAGAAAGAAATTTAAGTTGACCATCACATGTTTAGAACATCCAAAATAAGTAAGTGAAAAGAAAAGCTATTGCATGCCTTAAGCGTAAAGCGCGTAGGTATGTTCTACTAGCGCCTAAAAATCAAGATTCAAACGTTTTGTCGCATAAAATCGTATATAACAATCATATTGAACATATAAATGATTGTTGAACTTATTAATACTATTCGATTAATAATTAAATAAAATCTATTAATTGCTATTTTCATTTTTATATTATAGATGGTTTTTGTGGCTTATGGTGTAGATTTATCAAGTCTGCATGGAGTGGTAAACACGAAAATATCAATTGTTTAACTCAATCTATTTTTAATCTCATCATCTATCATGTGGGAAGCCACGGAATGTATGTAAATGGTAGTTTAATTTTCTTTTGTTTGGCTATAATTAATGTTTTTCGGCGTAGAAATGCCGAAATTTTCGGTGTTTCGAACAGCCTTGTAATAATTTATTCTACTAAATAGACTGCTTCACCAATCGGCCTCAGCCGCCGTCGTGAGTGGATACTGTATCGGTTGTATGCAGCGGCTTAAAAAGATCGCTGTACAAGTACAAAATATTCGAAAGACCAACTTTGATACGTACTTGATTATTGTAATAGTTATAGATTTTCATTACAATAATTTAGAAGCACAGAATAAATAATAGTACTACGTACTAAAAGTAAGTAGGGCGTATATATTTAAGTATATTTATACGTAAATACGTCTTGGACTTTATGGAGTGACCTGAATAATGATATGATGATCATATGAACATTATAAGTTATGCACTTTTGGATTTTCTAAACTTTTTTTTAATTAGATGGTTGACATAAAATTATTGTAAAATTGGAAGTATAATATAATGTAATAAGATTATTAGTGAAAACTTGCGTGTATTTAACCTACTTTATACGTAATTTTTTTAATTCGTTTAGGGTATGCACAATTGGATTTACCAATAGTTCTTATTATATTCTTTTATTTCTTAAAGGGTTACGGGGCAATGGGGGCTAAAAATCTTCCGCTCACTAGATGTCGGTAGTTGACACTGTGGTGAAGTTCTTTGTTACACAATGTCTTTTAATTGAGTTAGTTTAAAACAAAAGTTTATCAGTTTCTAGAGTATTATATTAATACACATAACAATGCCTCAGTGGTTTGCTCTTTAATTATTTGCACATTTTGAACTTTTTTATTTTTCTACTTTTATAAATATCTGTAGTTTAGGTTTATTTATTTTTAATCAAATAAATATAAAATATAACTAATATTTTAGAAAGAAACATTAAAATTACATTTTCCGGACAAATTAACTTGCCCTCTATGAAATCTGTCAAATATTACATTTCAAATTGAAGTGCCGCCACGGCTCTACTTTCTTTACTAGCCCGTAAAAATCCAGTGCCGGACTCCTCTCCCGATGTAGAAAGTATTTGCCTCAATCATCACATTTGGCAGGTGGAGTGACGATAGTGCTAGACACTATTCCCTCTTAAGACTGAGAGACGTCTAACATATAATCAGCAGTATTATATCTTATGGATTTTACTTTAAACTGGTGCAGTCTTGTGTATTAAAGATTTGAAACTGTAGAAATTCAATAGAAACTATAGAACTACATCTTAAGTTTTTCATTTTGTCGTCTTGGGATCCTTTTATTAATAACTCACTTTGCTAGGTGCTATCGTCAAAATCCGAAAAAGAAAAAAGTTTTACGATTGATATTTTTTTAAATGAAATGACAAACGAACTTGCATCCTGAGAGATGGTAAGCTATATCAGTCTATTGATACGTGCAGTCAACTGCCAACAAATAACTAGACTAGATACAGATGCGTTGATACCTCTGAACACTAAGATGGAATTCTTCATAACCTGTAATTATAATGTCTCTCTATACGCTTCAGACCGAATACAGCAGAGCAAGTATTGTAATTAGTAGTTCTAAAGGCAGGTCTATTTTTATCTATTTGGGAAAGTCTACGACTTTGATGGCATCTATAAGGTAATAATTAAAAAATTTGTACAACCGACTTCAATATCAATTATTAAGAATAACTCAAAAACTATTTGATATGGGACCACATGAGGAGTACCAGCTTTCAAATAAAAGAATCATTGAAATCTGTTCACCCAGAAAAAAGCTATGAGGTAACAGACATAAAAAATAAACATACTGTCGAATTGAGTATAGTCTCCTTTTTGAAGTCGGTAGAAAATATGACAACCTGTGGGTTTTATCGCTAGAATCGATATCTCGATAGTTAATCAACGGATTCTTAGAAATCAATGTGGCGAAGTAGTGATACTCACAGCTGGTGTGCTGCGTGGAAGGCGGCGGCGGCGGAGGGCTGGAGGGTCCACCGACATCGAGCGGCCGCTCGTCGTCGTCCTCCCGCGTGTCCGAGCGCGCCGTCAACAGCGCCTGCCTGCGGTACACCGACAAACTACTCGTGTTATATTTTGCACGATCCAACCATTATAATAATATCCTCTAAACCGAATTCGGTCGCGGCGGCCAGTCACTAACCATCTGCGCAGGACAGGATTATTGTACCTAAGTGTGCCTATGCAAAAGCACAGTCTCTATTACCTCACCCTCGTAGTCCGATGGGACGGTAAACCGATACGATCGGTGAAAGATCAGGCGCAGGACCAACCGCTTTACGAGCTTTCCGAGGCACGGATGTGAAACACCGCCAACTTCCTGACTCTGAAGAAATTCTCAGTTTCTTAACATAATAACTGATTTTTCCCGATATGGGGTTCGAACATGGGGGCGACTGTGAGCAGCACCAAAGGTATCAGATGTCAGGTACTGCGTACCTCTTCACCACCGAGCACGTGGTCAGTTAGCATATTATTGAATTGCAATTAACACTTTAAGTGTTTTTAAGTTAGTATTTACGTTTCGATTTAAGGCGAGAGTTTATCCCCTAAGCAATTTGATGATCATCCGCCATTTTGATTCTGAATCGAGGATAGATGCAGATGTCAATGCACTGCTGCATTTACTTACTATTAGGTGAACTGTGTGCTCGTTTTTCTCCCTTATTCTACATAATAAGTATATATTACTTTGTGATTAGAAGTAAATTAATTTCTTCAATAAACTTTGCTAAATATAGAAAAATGGATAAATCGATGATGACTACAATTGTATACCTATAAATTAATTTCAAACATTATGAGATTGAGGGAATAGTAGTGCATATGTGCATGCGCACACACTCATGCACAATAATGCTGTCTTGCGCAAATAACTATCAATAAAATAAATTATAGTTCCGTTGTGACTGGCTGTCATGACCGCAATTCGGTCTGGAGGACAAATATTTATATTAAAACAATAAATTTAATAATTATATTCATAAAATGTTATTAAGACTAATGTAACCAGACTTTATGTTGTAATAAATAAAGTGACATACAAAGGAACGGTATTTAATTTTTGGTTATGAACGTTAAGTAGGTATGTTTAATGCATCTTGGAGGCGTTTTTACACATAAAATATATAAAGTCAAATAATAAGATGCCAAACCATAATTATTTATATACCAAACAAATTATTCCTTAAGGGATTGGAACTCACAATTCACAGAGCGCAATCAAATACTGAACTACAGCCCTACCGGGCCGTCAGTTCATTTAAGAAATGCAAGGTTTCATGTCAGATATTTTAGGATTGATAAAATCTTTAACAGCCTAAACGCGGTGCAACAAAAACCACGATAAGCCGTTAGCGCCGGGCTTTCCTAGAAGATAGTCGTTATAAGCGTGTTTGGTTAGACACGCAGAATATTTATAAATCAGTTCCTTAAAATACTTGTTAGAAATTTTATAAGAGTCTATGGAGCGGTCTAAGTTACCAGCTAGCTCAAAAATTCGATTGATTGGTGTGGTGCCTAGATGGTTGTGGTAATTTGGAAAGAAAGAAAGAACATGTTTAAGTATAATAGCATCTTAGCAATACACATAAAATACGCGTACCCGACAATTTATTATTGAATTTATGACGTACGGGTATACCCTATTTAGAGCATGCAATACCGTTATATTGTTACCGCAATTTCGCGAATTTCGCGCTGTATTTCAGTACCGCAAAAGCGAGATTACAGGTGCGAATTTCGCAGTATTAAAAACGAACCCGGTATGAAACCAGAGTAACAATGGGTAAATATCTGGAGACTGTGTATCTGGGTAACTATCTGCTAAGCATTCCACCAACGAGCGTAGAACCTATGAGAGCATTTTCGGCTGCTGGATACATATGTAAAAAAATTAGAAGTTCTTTAAATGATGAGACAGTTCATATGCTTTGCTTTTTCATAAACAATTCCAAGGTATAAATTAAGATTAGGGTTGTATGTGTGATTAATTGTAGTTATCTCATGTTAGTGTTTTAATTTAACCCCCGTTAAAGATTTTTTTACTCATCTTATTGTTTTAGTTAAACCGCCATTAAAGGATTTTTTAATTTCGCAATATCGCATATTTTGCGATTTTACAAGTTCCGATACCGCAATATTGCGGTATTGAAAATATACTGCGGCATTGCATGCTCTAATCCTACGAGTATTTACTTTTATTATAAAAGTGAAAGTTTTTGAAGATGGATATATGGATGTTTGTTACTCTTTCACGCAAAAACTACTAAACGGATTTTGATGAAACTTTACAGTCATATAGATTATACATTAGAATAACACATATACTAAAATTTGTAAAGATATTGTGTTATTTGGTCATAATATATAATTTCGTGTTAAAGCCATGTTGCAGCTATATTATTGTAGCACGAATGGGTCGGCTCGACCGGGGAAGAACCATGCTCTCACAGAAAATATATAAGCGTTAAATAGCAGCTAAACGCTGCTGTGTTTCGTTTGGTAAGTGTAGAGAACTGGAGACCCTTTTTACTGGACACGAGGTATTCCATCTTAGTCCTCAGGGGTAATAACGCATCTGCATTTTGATTCGTAATAGAGGACAGGTGTAGAGGTCTGTCTTTGAGCCAAAGCATCCACTTACTATAAGATGGAATGTATGCTCACTACTTGTCACCCTAATTTTATTATATATGTATATAACGATAAGTATCAAGTAAGTCAGCGAAATTACTGTCCTCTGAAAGGTACTGTGGCGTGCGCTGCCCAAACCGTTACGAGTTACACGAGGATAATGTATTGTGGGATTGTTTCCTATAAATAGTTCTGAATAAAAGTCCGCGATAGCATTTATCTTTTACGTGGAAGCCATTATAGCCGAAATAGTCAGATTAAGGAGAGAATAGTAAATAAACTTAAGTTAGATAGTTTTTGATATTGGAGATGCAACACGTTCTGGAAGGCCAGTTGAAGCTGATGAAAATACACCATAAAGACATTAATTGATGCAAACCAGCGAATAACAACTCGTGAGATAGCTGAAAGATTAAATTTATCGAATTCGACCGTCCATGATCATTTGAAACGTCTAGGTTTAATCTCAAATCTCGGCATGTTATGGGTTGCTCTGGCGAATTTGTGCCGTCGCGTCTTGTTTTGCTTCTTTAACGTCAAAAAAATTATCCATTTTTGAAGCACATCATCACTGGGGACGAGAAATGGGTTGTCTACAACAATGTTAAACGCAAGAGAGGATGGAGTAAAAAAGATGAACCGGCTCAAAGCACTTCGTAAGTCGATATTCATCAAAAAGGGGGATGCTATCTGGTTGATGGGATTTCAAAGGAATCGTTTTTAGAGCCTCTAACTGACGACATAACGATCTATTTTGAAGTGCACTGTCATCAGCTGGACAAATTGAATAATTGACTTAAACAGGAAAGGCCAGAATTGATCCATAGAAAAGGTGTAGTGTTCCACCAAGATAATGTAAAACCTCATACAAGTCGCCAAAAGCTTTCACAGCTTGAATCGGATATACTGCCTCACCCACTATATTTTCCGCATCTGGCACCTTCCGACTATTATTTATTCTGGTCTCTAGAAAAAAATTAGATAGTAAACCTTTATTTCAAATGGGGAGGTCAAAAATCGCGTAGATCAGTATTTTACCAGCAAAGAACAAAAGTATTATGGGCGTGGAATCATGCTACTGCCAGAAAGATACCAAAAGGTATTGGACAAAGTGGACAATATATAACTCAGTAAAAAAATTCTTCACTATAAGAAAATCGTCTTTAATTTTCATTAAAAAAATTAAATCACTTTCCGAACAACCCAATATATCTAATGCATATTTATTTCCTTTACAGGGCCATCGTAGCTAATGCGCGCGGTGTGCAGATGTCAAATGCGAGCACTTCACCACAGCGCTCAGAAGATGTACTCGGTGCTCTTATCGCCGGCAGGATCAAATTGTTGCTTGAGCTTACACCTTGCCGATGGTGTAGAGGCGCCGTTAGAGAGTCCCCATACTATGCCGTGGAAATCGTAAGAGACGGCAGAGTGACAGGAAAATGAGGAGGGCATGGGCAGGCAGTATCTTCCGGATTATAATTTTTTTTTTATAGGAGAGGGGGCAAACGAGCATGCGGCTCACCTGATGGTAAGTGACTACCGCCGCCCATGAACAACTGCAACACCAGGGGAATCGCAGATGCGTTGCCGGCCTTTAAATTTCTTTAAATAAGTTGAAATAATAAAAAATAACGGTTGCTATCCTGCCTGCCAAGCATGTCAACTATGGCAAAATATTTCTCCATATGAGCCAATTAATGGGGGGCCATGTTTAATTCACTTTTGATAGGCTGTTAATGAAAATGTTAAAAATAAAATGCCTATTACCTTTTAGGACGCAAAATTTGTTTATGTAAATATATCTACTCATATTTGGGTTTGAATGAGCATCGCGTGCTCTTGAGATTTACCCTTGACGAAAAAAAATGGCATGATCCCTTTAGGTTCAATTCAGATTAGGTGCAATGATTGAGAGTATGTTCCGAGTACTAGTGATACATATTATGAGTCTTACGATATAATATATATTATTTATAAAATAGCCCTGCTTAACATATGCCTCCTCTATAGATTGCGTCATTGGGGGATTTTGCAATAGTTGCCACAATTAGCAGACGGATTGGCAACAACAGTTTTTTACTATTAGAGTTATTATCAGGGAGGTACTGCTACACATCTCCTGCTTCAGTATCCCACTGTCGCCTCTTACAGCACCCACGGTACGACTACCGTCTTAATACAAAAGTAGTATATAATTACTTTAAGGTTTAAACTAGTCTGTTTTAAATATGTGTATGTAAAAAGACCGAAGTTTGATTAGATAACTATCTGATGTTATTGTAAAACCGAAATGAAGTCGTCAAACATTGGCAAGCATTTCGAGCTTAGATGCACTAAAACTGTCGTCCTTAAGCCATTGTAAACCGTCACACGTTCACACCGCCATCTAATCCCTTGTTATGTGTTGCGTTTGTTACGTACG